GGGCCTCAAAAAAAGGCAGTGTATAACCTTCCTTTTTTACCAAAAATCGACTACACCAAAATTTCTCGGGAAACCCTTTTTCGTATTAATTTTGGTGCGTAGAATCCAAAACAATTCGTACTTATTCGATTAGATTTTTCAATCAAAAGTTATAGACTAGAAACCAATTTCGAAAGAAAATTCAAAGGGCTGTAACTTTTGAACTAGTAGCCTAATCTTCGAACTGTTTGAAATTATGGATTCTACAGGGCACATTCTATATGAAAATTTTTTTTCCCGGTCGATCAGGGACAATTTTTTTTTCGGGACTAAAAAAAAGGCAGTGTATAACCTTCCTTTTTTACCAAAAATCGACTACACCAAAATTTCTCGGGAAAACACTTTTTCTTATTAATTTTGGTGCGTAGAATCCAAAACAATTCGTACGTTTTCGATTAGACCTCTTAATAAAAAGTTATGGACAAAAAACAAATTTCGAAAAAAAATTCAAAGGGCTATAACTTTTGATCTAGTAGCCCAATCTTCAAACTGTTTGAAATTATGGACTCTCGATCGATCTCGATCTCAGACAATTTTTTTTCCGGCCTCAAAAAATCAAATATAAAAATCCGATACATCTGAATACCGAACTCGATAGTCTACATAACTTAAAAACAATAGGGACCTTTCTTATATCCTTAAGACCATGTGTACCAATTTTCAAAGCGATCGCACGTTTCAAAACAAGTTATCATGCACACAGACAAACGGATGGTCAAAACGATCGCTTTGAAAACTGGTACACGTATTCTTAAGGATATAACTGGTATAAGAAAGGTCCTGGTAGGTACCTCCTATATAATAATATAATAATAATAATACGCTTTTACTCCCCTTAAATTTGTATATAACAATAGAAATATAAAAAAAGCTAACCCCATACAAAGTATAACTTGATTTTTTAAGTAGTATTAAGCCTTTTATCTAGTATACTATTTTAAATTTTTAATGTATTTGAGTGACAAGTATTTGAATACTTTTTACTGTAATCGAATACTTTTCAAAGTAAGATAATGAAATACTTTTCAAAGTATTCGAATACTTTTTATAGTATTCGAATACCTTTGATAGTATTAGAATACTTTTGAAAGTATTCGAATACATTTGAAAGTATTCGAATACATTCTAAAGTATTTGAATACTTATTTTTTAAAGTATTTGAATACTTCTTTTTTTAAGTATTTGAATACTTTTCAATGTATCTGTATCTAGTATTCGCTTGTGCTGGACGTAAAAGTATTTAGTATTCAAATACTTTTTGAAAGTATTCTGCCCAGCTCTGGAAATAACCCTTTGCAGAAATGTTATAATATGTTACCACTAATCAGCAATTTGTGGTCTACTGATTCTTTCTAATCTAAGCGATTAGAAAAACGCATTGGTTCTTTGTGGCAAAATGTAGTACCTAACTTCTACCTTATGATTCTCTCAGGTAATTTTAAACATTTCCTTTGGTGAAACTCCACCATTTCTTTCGCCTTTGCAGTCTTATAAAGACTTGTAATTTTAAGGAGACAATATCCACATCAAAAATAGATTCCCATTTTGCAATTAGCACGTTTTACCTACTCCCAACCTAAATGGAATAATCCAATAAACGTCAAACTCGCAATAAGTATAATAAATCTCTATATTTATAACCCACAAACCGCCGTGTACGGTGGAGGCACCAAATCCTCACCTCGTTGCATTTGTTTGCTAATGCGGCTTTTGTCTAAATTCCCTACTTTAGTGTTCGCTCTCTTGAATAATGCGGACTCTTTTTACGTTAAAGGCTTGCAAAAATAATTACGAAATCCTAATTTAAAATTTTAATGTTTTATAAACGTCCCTTTAACGTTAACTAGAAGTGAAGAGTTTTCGAGTCACGAATTTTGGCTCTATAAAAACCCTTTATGTGGTAGTTAAGAACTCACTTTTAAAATGATGTGTGTAACGATAAAAATATGTAAACATGCAAGAAAATAGAAGATTTTCTCTATAGTTTGTAGACGTGTCCCAATTCAGAATTCAGAATGAGGACAGCGCTTTGACATTTTCTTCGAGATGGATGATAAAAGCTTTCTGCATGTATATATGTATAAATTGCATTTGTCTTTCAATATGCGCTAAAATGTCGTGCCTAAAACTTCTTTCCGTATCGGGTGTAGGTTAAACTTTAAATAGAACTGAGAAATCTACTAGAGGATTGGCCCTAGGATTGGCCTTATTTGCAACTGAGGTCAACTGTAGATAATCATTAGAAACAAAGATACTAAATGAGCAACTGAAGCTTTCATGTAAACGATCGAAAGTCTACTAACTTAGCAAACATTACTAGTAACGTAACAGTCATAACCGCAATGATTATTGAGTGATTTTCCATTAAACATGATACCAACATCAGGTGAAGTGCTGCATTGTGGGTAGGATACCCATTACATCAACGACTTCAAAAATGTTTCGATAGTTACCTATTTGTCTATGTCGCAATCTTTTACTAACAACAATCGTTTTAATTGTTTTTTTGTAAAAACAGTGCCCGTTGTACTGTGCCGCAGAAATTGAGAAGCGACTGCAATCTTGACTTACTCCATACACACGAGCAGAATCACCGTTACTTTCATATCATGTCAAAACGATGGATGCTTTGCGACACTTTCACAAATGGGAAAGGATAGATTTGTGCGTAAAAAAAGACAAGAACATATAAAATATATTACGCACACAACCAGACGATATCAGGGAAACCTTCTTCTGGACAAAAACCCTGGTATAGCCAACACAAATATACGAACTCAACAAAGCACTAAACAAGCACAATGTAACAATAAAAATCAGGTCCCGAATTTTAAGATCCTAGGAACGTCATATTTTTTTTCAAAAATGTCAACGTGCATCGTTCCAGCTGGTTATTGAACGTCGCAAGGGCATAAACTTTCGCCTAACTTGTACGCCGATCTTCATGTTTTTGTCCTGGTAAAATCGAACCATAGCCCGCGTTCCTTTCGGATCATTATCACATTAATTTAAATTAAGTTACAAATATATAATCCTTATCTGAATCATCTTCGAAATTAATCTACATCTTCTCTGGCAACTTCGCCAAACTAAAATAATTTTGTTGGTAAGCTCTACAGGGCGTTTCCATATTTTCAGTGTAACTGCATCAATGGCTTGCTGCGAACATATCTAAATAATTTTCTCTCCCATAACATTTTTTCGCCAATGCGTTGTTTATAATGTTGTTTGCGAATTCGCCATATATTTCTTTGATGGCATTGAAAATGCAATGGTGGGAAGGCAACCGTAGGACCACGTGTCCATTTTATAATGTCAGATGGCCCACATTTTTACACCACACGCTATCGTCTTAACCTTGCCCAACAAAAAAAAGCAGAAAATCAATATCTCCACACATAAGGGAGTTGTGAATTTTCCATTAGAGCCATATCGAATTTTTGGCCACTTTTAGGCCCTTAAGGGACCAAATGGCCCCGCAGCTGAAAACGAATTTAACTTGTGGGCTCTACGCACTCGATTTAGTAAGGAAAACGTATTTCTGCCAATTTCAATAAACTTTCGATAATTTCAAATTTTGCTACACAAAATAATCGATAAAATCGCGGCTTTTTTGCCTTCCTCAGAGGAGGGCTGACAGCGTGAAGTATATCAGCCACGTGGAACTTGCGGTTCCTGAGAAAAGTAACCACAACTTTGGGGTAGGCCTGTTCCGGAACCGGAAGTTCCACGTGACTGATATAATACACGCTCTTCTGTTAAAACAAAACGTCTGGAATTTAATAGTAAGAAGTAGATCGCACCATCGGGAAACTGCAATGTATTTTTTCGAGAAGGATCCACGAGGCCGTTCAACGTACTACTCTAATCTCTTTCTCGCATCAAGGAAGCGCAATAACGTACGTTGAACGCTAACTACATATCAAACGATCACCGTAAGGTTTGTTTCACACTTATACGGTTCGAGTCGGTTCGGTGCGTATTCCATTCGTTTTCGGTCACTTCCGATGTGTGAACCGGTTTATACGGCGTGTGTTCGGTACTTATAGAGACCTGATGTAACCGAAAGCTCCCTCGACACGAATCGGTTTGATTCGGCTTCTATTCGAGTTCAAGGTTCACAAAAGCACATATACTTTGGAAAAAATTATCCCAGCTCATTTTTTAGTGGTAGTACAAATGATTCATAACTACTCAGATAACTCAAATTGCTGTAAAAACTGAGATCAAAACAATAACGTAACCCTCAAACATGCGTATTGTAAACGTCGTGTATCAATGTACAAACGTAATTGGCAATGTGAATATAATTAACTCACCCCCAACCCCTGGAGAGTTACAGGCACACCTTAACTTGTAATGGAAAGTTTCATCATCGCAGAAATACTTCGGAATATAATAAATTATACTGCAAATGCTCATATGTGGATAAAAACCCTAGTGGACCAGTAGTAGGTCAAGTGTAACTCCCGTAAAATGTTGCATTGTTTTGAACAATTAATTAAGAGATGATACACTTAGGTAACTTAGACAAATCGTTCACCAAGTACAATTGATAGCTCAATTGTGCTACGCTTGCTGGTGGGTGGTGAGTAAAAATGATGCTTATAACAGTGATATGCACTTGTAACATAATTAACTACCAATTTTGACGCAAGTAATACCTCACTTAAACGCACATCATTACAAATAAGCTGGCATGTTCGTGCATAATTTATCCTGTAGCACTTTTGGCTTTTACTTCACGTACAAACAAACAGCAAACTCGCCTCGAAGCAATACAAAGACGTAGATCTACGATTTTATCTAAATTGTACAATTTAATAATTGAATTCTTCCTCTCTTCGCTCCTTTCAGTACTTTATTACTTCTCACAAGCGCACTTTTTACTCTTCCATTTCCATAAGTTGGGCTTTTGCACTTCCGTCGCAGTTTGTGTGATACCGTAATTAATGTTGCAGATCCGGAAAACGCGGAGGCGGGAGAGTTACAGCGAAAATTAGAGATGTTAAACAATATAATGGATCAGGAAGCTCGTGCGGAACAAGCCCGAAGACAAATGCAGTATTTCGGACATTGTAAGTATAAACCTTCTTCTGCTCATTAAATTAACACTTGACGGATGAGGTATAATGGCAATTAAGCTCGAGCTTTTCATCTCTTACCAATTACATTTCATGATTTATTACGGTAGCTTGTCAACCCAATTATGCGTTTCTACATTCTTTAAACAAGAGCATTGTGTACTTTAATAAAAATTCGTGCTTAGAGCTTTAAATTTATTACTTCAATTTGCGCCAGCGAGAAAGGTGTACTTCATTTTCGCATATATGCCGGTTAAATTCTGAACGTCAAAGGCACTTGTAACACAATACTTACCACATACTGCCTTTAGAATTGAGTATGCTCAAATGGGTATTGTAAGACGCCGCATACATACCTACTTCCAAATGTGGTACTTAGAGATATGTATTACATTATGTACCTTTATTGATCTCACTGCGAGGCGTTTAAGAATCTTTCATTAACGCTACTCGCTTGGTATCAATAACGTAGCTAGATTGTCCCAAAGATTACGGTACATTACAGCTCATAAATCAAGTGCGTGTGTACATTACTGACATAAATAGAAAATCTACACACAACACTTAAACACTGGCAATTTCAATAAACACCGGTTCGAAAAATATTACATTGCTGTGCCATACAAGTTCGTTCTGATGTTCATGAACAGAGACCCTGACCTCAACTTCACCCTTGTGTATAAAAATGAACATCGCTTAAGCATACGAAACTCACTTTAATTAACTGCTTAACTGACTCATAAGGAATTATTGCGATTTGCTGCTTTATCGACTGCGCCGTTGCTTAGACTCCTTCACCCGAAACAAGAAATAATTGTTGTATTTTTAGTGGAACCGATCAACGTATCCGATCTATTCCCTAAGCACGGATGCCTTCAGGCCTGTGAAGAGTAGGAGAATTTCAGCGAGTGGGCGCCTGAACAATGTTACAGTTTCGCAGTTAATTAGTTCAATGCTTATAATGTTATTCATAAACAAATATCTGTTGCTTATTTTTAATAAAAAAGCTTTATAGGGTGGAAAGGCAAATATTTAGTCTGGCATATTGAAATCTCAGATCAACAATAGAGTCAATAAAATTATTTTAAAAATAAATATGCGATACTTCGTAAGGTAGCAAGGGTAGTTCATCCCTGCAATAAATAATTGATAGGAACTTGCCACCTAGATGTAGTGTTGAAGTGCCTTATTTACATTTGACCATACTGCTGATATTCTTCAATATTTTAGTAACATTTGAGTGGCAATTAAAATAAAGCCACCACACCAACGGTTTGTATTGGAAGAGAACAAGCCTACTCACGTATAAATTCTCCTTATTCCAACGCAAAGTAACAATGTGATGGACTTGAAATAGGATTTACGAGGTGAAACCAACCCCTAAAGTACTAATTCATAGCAAAGGTCTGAATCTATAGAGCACATTCCTTCTGAGCATAAAATTACAAAACAAGCATGCGAGGTTTTAACGACTTTCAAATGGGATTCGAAGAGTAAAATCAACCCTTGAAGTATTTAACAAATCAAAGCATCGGAAGAGCACATTCATACAATACCTTGTTCCAATCTGAGAGAACAATATGAAGTTTTATCGACTTGCAATGGAATTCACGAGGTGTAATCAGCCCCTAAGCCTTTAAACATTCGTAGCAAACGTCTGTATATGAAAAGCACGTTTATGTTATCGACTTGCAGTGAAATTTATAGTGAAATCAACCCCTAAAACGTTTAAAATAGCAATAATCTGCGCGGTGGTTGCGTTTGCCGACTGCTATTCGGGGTTTTTTACCCCAACGTGAAACAACAATGTGGGGTCTTGTAGACTATCAGTGGAATTCATGGGGTCAGATCAACTAACGGAGATGTCAAAAAGGGCTTCCTTATTTTTTGATGTACTTTGCCAATTTACGAACTGCAAAATTTCATCACAATCGGAGCATTCGTTCTCTTTTAAATCATTGGACATGCAGCCATCGGGTGTGCGAGCAAGTGGACGGACAGACGAGCAAGCAAGCGAGCGATCGGACGATTCAGAGAAAATAAGCGTCTCGATTACCAACTTGATGCCAAAATGAATTATGCACTCGTACAATTATGGACCAAACAAGGAAACAAGGATAGGAAAACACAACACAATGTAATAATTGTCTGGACTTAATTAGTTTGACCAACAATTTGGAAAACCTGAAGCGAGTGTATAACCTTCCTTTTGTACCAAAAATCGACTACAATTTCTCGGAAAAACACTTTTTCTTATTAATTTTGGAGCGTAGAATCCAAAACAATTCGTACTTTTTCGATTAGACTTCTCAATCAAAAGTTATAGACTAGAAACCAATTTCGAAAGAAAATTCAAAGGGCTGTAACTTTGGAACGAGTAGCCCAATCTTCGAACTGTTTGAAATTATGGATTCTACAGCGCACATTCTATAAGAAATTTTTTTTTTCCGGTCGATCTGAGACAATTTTTTTTCGAGGCTCAAAAAAAGGCAGTGTATAACCTTCCTTTTTTACCAAAAATTGACTACACCAAAATTTCTCGGGAAAACACTTTTTCTTATTAAGTTTGGAGCCTAGAATCCAGAACAATTCGTACTTTTTCGATTAGACTTCTCAATCAAAAGTTATAGACTAGAAACCAATTTCGAAAGAAAATTCAAAGGGATGTAACTTTTGAACTAGTAGCCCAATCTTCGAACTGTTTGAAATTATGGATTCTACAGGGCACATTCTATAAGAAAAATTTTTTCCCCGGACGATCTGAGACAATTTTTTTTCGGGGCTCAAAAAAAGGCAGTGTATAACCGAGAGGGTTGATATTTTCAACAAGGGGCGTACCTAATGAAATGGGGCTAATTGTTCGTCAGAACTCATTATTAGGATGCGAAAAATCTACTGTAAACTTACCGTTCATTGGAAACGGAGGGTCATAAGGGATGGTAAGGCAGCATTCGGTCTGGCTGGCCGATCATCGCCAATTAAACACACCGGAGGGAGGGGGGGTTAAGCTGAAGGGTTAAGATGCTTATACCTCATAACTGTTTGATAAGGAGTGTACCGCGTCCACGTGTATTTTATTTAGCCCCTCTGACTAGGCCCTTGCCCAATAGATCAACCACAGTCTCTCATTGTCCTCCCTGCGAACAACTGCAGGTCAATGTAACTAACTGTTTGTGTTAGCAGTAAGACCTTAGATGGGTGTAAAAAAATCCCCCCCCCCTCCTCACGTTCTTCACAGAAATCGAGGGGCCAACCACAGGTAAAATTTGGTGTACCCATGTTGGGGAAATCTATGAAAATCTTGATGAAATCCATGCAAAGAGAAGTCCGAGGTGAAATCCGTGAAGCCATTGTGAAATTTTGGTGAAATGCAAGAGATTTTATCACAATTTGCAATTGGGGCCATCATCTGCAGAAATAATCTTAGTTCAGAAAATTAGTCTAACGAAGAGATTAACAAATTCGTAGAGGAGACTTTCGTGGGTGTTGAAGCTGGCAATTAGAAATGTCAAAAACATTTAACCCATCTTGATAATAGTATCATCCTGACTCCAGAATCGAACGATCTAGATTCTAGATATTTCCAAGAGAATTCCAAACGTCTACCGACTCTGAAAAAGACTAGAAGAAGCCCGAGAAGGAGAAGCGAGTAGAGAAGAGTAGAGACTACATTTCCGGAGGCGGCGAACTAAACCTTAAAAACCGTACTCTGAAGAGCTCGAAGATTTCCCTTTAGATTTTAACTTGCAATTCAAGATAAGAATGCGAAGCATGGGGAAATCACAGTCGGTTAAATTATAAAAAGTTGCGTATTTTGTGAACGCCTAACTACACCAAAATGTTAAAAAATGTTTATAATTTAAGTCAGAGAAAAGGCTTGTTCTTAAATTTTTTGTTGTAGTACTGACAAAATGTTAAAATAATTCAATGAAAGAACCATATTGTTCCATATTTTTTATATTACTTATATGTTTTCGTAATAAAAATTGTACTTTTGTTCCGCTTCTTATAAAAATACGAAGTTGATGGTGGTTTCTCAAAGATGAAACGTGGCTTTTAAACTCTGTGAGCGCCATCTTGTATAACTTCAGCAGCAATTCCTATGAAGAAGTGTTATTTGTTTTTTCATATCATTTCAAATAGTATCAGAACAAAATAAAAACGAATACGGTTAATTTCGTTTTTTTTTCGAACATCTTCGGAAGTGATCGGAATTTCGGAATTTTTAAAACATAATTTTACTAAGCCTTGAAATACACAATTTTTTTGTAAATTTAACCGACTGTGTATTTCTTATGGTTTCCGATTTCCCCATTCTGTGCATTCTTATCTTGGACACACTGTATAATTGAACCTAATTTAAGGGTATGACCGAAGGATTGACATTTATATTTATATAATTTTCATGTTAGAATTCGATAGGAAAATCACTTATTTTGATCTTAATCTCATTATCTGTTAAGTATTTCATAATTAAGACAAATTGCAAATGACAAAAGGTTTTTAGGGGCATTTTTCGAAATTTTCCTTATGTGATTGTTTTGTCCATCCGTCTTAGTACCTATTTTATTTGATGATCGGCACATGAAAATTTTGAACGTGATTAAAGGACGAGTTTTAATCTAAACTGGCGGACTAGAAATATACATTAAACGTAAACTTGATTAAGGACGCCTTTCGAGATCTTTTTTGAGAGATCTCTTTTCTGAATCACTCCTCGATTAAAAAATGGTAAATGCACTATGTACTTGAAGCACAATATCTGCACGATAATAAAATATACACGTTACCACATAATATCAACGAGAAAAATAATTATAAGATGAAATCTCTACTGAGGCACTCAACGGTTACTATAGTAAAATACCTGAGATAAAGGATATTCAATCCTTTTAATACCATCAAGTACGAAACTTCTCAAACTGTTTGATATTATAATGTAGATACATGGAAAGCTGTTTATTCACAAACTTTAGTTTACTTGTTCATGAATGCCACGGATAAAGCTTGAATAGAAAATTATGAAAAATGCAAAGCCGGTAGCAAGCAGCTTAATTGAGCGATAAGTGTAAAGTGGTGTAATTTTTAACTGTTAAGCTTTAATCCGTCAATGTGTTCAAGATATATTAATGTACCTACTAAAGTGAGTTTTTGGTAAAAGACACTGATATATTATAATAAAAAAAAAATTGCCCTTCAAATTTATATACATACCAATTTCAAAGTGTATTGGCAAAGAACAAAAATAACATTCACCTTAAATAGTGAAGGTTATCTTCACTACCACACCATTGTGTAATGGTCACTTTTCGGTTCATGCCCAACTTCAAAAAGCAATACTCGTTTATAAACGAAGTTTCTAACATCTTTAAAGCTTCAGATGTCTTTGCAATTTCTAAATGAATAACAACATCTAGACTTGTTGCTGTTGGAAGTGTTTATAGTCTTCAAGGTCTTTTGCTGCATTTGCTTATATCTAAAGTTTCTGAGATATTAAATTGAATCGATATTTTTTATTAAACGAGTTATTTAAAATTGTGTAACAGAGAAAACAAAATATTTAAAATTTATGATCTTTTTCAATCTAAGTAAAATTGTATACCTACACATGAGACGCGTAAAATTATCGAATAAATAAAAATATGCACTAAATACGAATTATGCCATCTACATACAAAAATCAAAATCACTTAATAATTGGGAGTTTTGACAAGTTACAGGAATGTCTAATAGACATTACTTTTTTTTAAATATTTTTACATAAAGAACTACATACACTATACTCCATACTTTAAGGAAGACCACACCAAGTGGAAACCGATCTCAAAATTACAAACCAAAGAACATTAAAACCATAAAACTTTTTATTGTCGTTTTTTCAGCACGATCCACTTCTAATCAGTTTGAAAATGACATTTCAGCGGGGTATTCGGAAGATAGCGACTACACATCTGATTTGAACTACCCCGTAGGTCAACATCCGAATTCGTCCGCTTCGCAGTTTCGAACAGCTGCGCATCAGATGCATACCCCGCAACGCTCACTCGAAACCTCACGTGAAAATTCCTACGAACGGGACGACATCCCCGGCCAACAGCAGCATCATCTGCCGGCTCCCTACGCGCACCAGCAACACCTTAGTCCTGGAACCTACCAACGTTATAACAGTTCATCCAATCAGGTAATGTTCGCGAAAGCACATTTCCACGGATTTGTCTTATGAAACAAATTTTAGCGATACTCTCCCAATAACACCGACGAATATGGCTACTCTTCAACTGTCCAAACGAACTCTATGCAGCAACAGGATTACAATATGGATTCCGACCCTCTTTTTTACAATAGCCGCCCTCCAAGTTACTACAAACAGGACTACTCAAGGTAAATATGTATAAATCACTGTTGGGTTTTACTATGTGCAATTTCTATTGTCTCTTGTCTTCATTGCGGAACTTAAATTTTATGAAAATCGAATCAAAATGTTACTGTTAGAAGGGATGCCCATCGATTCTCATTCGCAGGGAGGTTGCACTATGTCACAATGAGATCTATTCGTAAAGTCTTATGTTTTCATTAACTTTAAGGTAGGAAATCACGCCCCTAGGAATAGATGTGTTTGGCTCAATCTCTAATAATATCACCGAATCGTATTAACGTTCCCACTTTCAAATTTTCTTTGCCTTTCTCCTTTGTAGAGTTGTAGAGATTGCTGGATCTCCAACGTTTTCCAAAATCGCTTGCCTTTCTGGAAAATTTGAGCGCTCCAATCCCTCTTAAGCCCCCCCCCCCCTCTTAAGGATGGTGTCAAAGGTCGGATCATCCAGATCTTCCGACAAAGTAGTGAATGGTCTACTCTTTCCCAAAATGCGCCACACCAGAATCCAGTTTGAACGTTAAATTCCTAATTTTCATTGTACCAGTTTCCTCGGAAGTTATAGACTAGAAACCAATTTCGAAAGAAAATTCAAAGGGCTGTAACTTTTGAACTAGTAGCCCAACCTTAGAACTGTTTGAAATTATGGATTCTACAGGGCACATTCTATAAGAAAATTTTTTTTCCCGGTCGATCTGAGACAATTTTTTTTTCGGGGCTCAAAAAAAGGCAGTGTATAACCTTCCTTTTTTACCAAAAATCGACTACAACAAAATTTCTCGGGAAAACACTTTTTCTTATTAATTTTGGTGCGTAGAATCCAAAACAATTCGTACTTTTTCGATCAGACTTCTCAATCAAAAATTATAGACTAGAAACCAATTTCGAAAGAAAATTCAAAGGGCTGTAACTTTTGAACTAGTAGCCCAATCTTGGAACTGTTTGAAATTAAGGATTCTACAGGCCACATTCTATAAGAAAATTTTTTTCCGGGTCGATCTGAGACAATTTTTTTTTCGGGGCTCAAAAAAAGGCAATGTATAACCTTCCTTTTTTACCAAAAATCGACTGCACCAAAATTTCTCGGGAAAACACTTTTTCTTATTAATTCTGGTGCGTAGAATCCAAAACAATTCGTACTTTTTCGATCAGACTTCTCAATCAAAAGTTATAGACTAGAAACCAATTTCGAAAAAAAATTCAAAGGGCTGTAACTTTTGAACTAGTAGCCCAATCTTGGAACTGTTTGAAATTATGGATTCTACAGGCCACATTCTATAAGAAAATTTTTTTTCCGGGTCGATCTGAGACAATTTTTTTTTCGGGGCTCAAAAAAAGGCAGTGTATAACCTTCCTTTTTTACCAAAAATCGACTACACCAAAATTTCTCGGGAAAACACTTTTTCTTATTAATTTTGGTGCGTAGAATCCAAAACAATTCGTACTTTTTCGATTAGACTTCTCAATCAAAAGTTATAGACTAGAAACCAATTTCGAAAGAAAATGCAAAGGGCTGTAACTTTTGAACTAGTAGCCCAATCTTCGAACTGTTTGAAATTATGGATTCTACAGGCCACATTCTATAAGAAAGTTTTTTTCCCCGGTCGATCTGAGACAATTTTTTCTTCGCGGCTCAAAAAAAAGGCAGTATATACCTTCCTTTTTTACCAAAAATCGACTACACCAAAATTTCTCGGGAAAACACTTGTTCTTATTAATTTTGGGGCGCAGAATCCAAAACAATTCGTACTTCTTCGATTAGACTTCTCAATCAAAAGGTATAGCTCGAGTTTCCTTTTCAATTTTGTTCCAATCTAACTTCTTGAAAAGGTTGTCTGCTCCCACAAAATTAGTTCCATTGTCAGAAGTGGTATCAATAGCACATATGTAATGCACAACTTAATTCTGCTCGACACATGATCTTTCATCACAACTCAGTCAGCAAGTAGATAACTGTACCTTTCCTAGTAGCTTGAATCCGCTTTTTGATCACTCCAGTCCAATCATTTAGATGCCATATCAAATGTTAGTGTATCCTTTTATTCGTCCCCCAAACTACTATATAAAAGAAAATTAAATACCTTTTTCGTTACACAGACGACGAAAATTTACTGGAGACCATGAAAAACATAGGTAAGAGTCGCAGAATTTTGCACACTTTATTAAGACTTCTTTGTCATAATTGGAAAGTTAAAGCTATTTGTGTATTTCAGCGAGAATACATGGGCCGGGTGCAACAACTACAACTACAGTAAACAAAACCAAGATGTAGATTACATTGAAGATTCTTACTATGTAACGTCGTCTCCGCGAAAAAGTAAAAGTAAGTCAATTTTTTAATTTTTTGGCTTCCGATTGTTTTTGCTTCTCTCTCATTGCGTCTGCATCTTTTTGTTTTCGTTTTTCAAGCGAGTCGTTTTCATTGCCTTTTTTCACATCCTGCTTCTTTTTTTGGTTGCGGGTTCGATCTTTTTCTCTTTGATTGCCTCGTGTCATTTTTAATTTACTGCTTGACAGGTTGACTCACGGTTTATATTGAATTTTGTGTGGATGTCACATTTGTCCAAATGCGCTCTAGATCATCTACAGACCAAAACATGAGTCATATACATGCTGAACATTAGATACTATACACGCCATAAAATTTGCAAGGTTATCACTAGGTATCTTGGTCAATTCGATGCATGCTTCTGAAAAAAGCTCAAATCTCAGATACTTACTAATTCATCTTTTTTCAGCGGGAAGGCGGCCCAGTTTAGAACGGCAACCTACACTGTACGATGAATCCAGCTTATATTCCTCAAGTTTCTGTTCCAAAGATAAAAATAGTCACATTGTATCCTACGTTCAAGCCAAGTAAGTATGACTTTATCTAAATGTAAGGTGCTTTATTAATTGAGCCGTTTTGCGCACTAACAAATCTAGATTTGTGCCAAAGACCTTCTTTTGTTTTTATTATTGCCTTAATTTTTAAATAAGTCAGTGAATGGCAACGTCTTATGGTGGGTCTACACAATCATTAACATTAGTTCACCAGATAATTAAGAAATAACCAATAGAAACAAAGGTATGGTTTCGTTGGTTATTTCTTAATCATCTAATGATTGATCTAAAGAATTCCCCGAACAAAATTTTAAGCGTTTTGAGGAAACTTATTAAATTACTACATTTTTGACATACCTACCTAACCCCACGAAAAAGTCAAACGGCGCGGCGTCATATCGGGATACCTACCTGGCCATTAAATATAATACAGGCAATTTGTGCTCAAATGGGCATCTAGCGGGAAAGTTGTGGGGTAGTTTTGATTTCTTTGATTCTATTTTTTGGGGTGCTGAATCGGAATCTGAGGTTTGCCAACAAAATTTCATGACGCAACATTGAAAACAACTTGAAAACTATCAACTTTTCGAAAATAACCTTCCTATTCAAAATGAAAGTACCTACATAAAGTTTCCTACAGATTCCACTATTTAGTTTTTTTCCTCGATGAACCGTTCGAGCTCAAGCGCCAGTTGAGAATTGGCGTATTTCGGCTGTATCCGCAATCTTTTATTATGATTTTATTATTATTCTGTGCAAATATAAATCCGTACTTTTCATTGTCTACCGGTCTCCTCAAAAAATTTTATAACTGTTCCGTCTGGTAAAAACTCTCCCACTCCTTCACAAATAAGTTTGCGAATTATCATGTACACAAAGCGAACAAAGTTACACAGATGGACGGACGGACAGTCCAAAATCGTGAACTCGCTTTTTGTCGCTCGTTAACAATATGTAAATAGAAAAGAAATAAATCTGATTCAGTTGTTAACAGACAAATTGAAGCTGGGGCAACTGCGTTACCCCACTCCTAGGAGTACATGATTCTTCAGAACACCGGGGCAAGAGGGATATAGTCGTTGAATAGGAAATCAATATACCTACCCCTTTTGCCATTTTAATTTTTTTAATTAATAATGACCACACACCACAAATTCAACAGTAATTATCCAAACATGCTACGGTAGGGTCTTGGGATTTCTTTATCTGGTTCGGAAGAGAGTGGGAATAGTTTTAGATAGCACCGTATAAGTATTATATTATATTATAAGTAATATAATAATATCATATACTGTTTTTCGTTAGAAATTAACTTTTCATACAATTCTGGACTACAACAAACACCTTGAACATTATGTAAATGAGAAAAAATCACCCTTACATATAAAATTCAAATAATAGTAGGTAAATGCAAGGAATTTACTTATTGGCAACCCTTAATTTAGGGTTTTAGTGCGAAAAAAACTATGTTTTGTGGAGAGCCAAAATACGCCAATTTTCAACTGAACGGTTCATCGAGGGAAAAAACTAAATAGTGGAATCTGTAGGAAATTTTATGTATTTTCATTTTGAATAGGAAGGTTATTTTCGAAAATTTGATAGTTTTCGAGTTGTAAGCACAAAACTGCCAAAAAAGTATCATTTTCAACTTTTTTTGTATTTTTTTCATGTTTCGTTACGAAATTTTGTTAGCAAACCTCAGATTCGGATTCAGCCCCCCAAAAAACATACAGAATCAAACAAATCAAAACTACCCTACAACTTTCCTGGTAAAAATACAATTTAACTGGATTAATATTCAGATTCAGATATTCTCATACCTCAATTCCAAAATGAGGCGAAGCCTCTTCCTATTGAAACCATATTTCTTCCCCTGTATCGTTATTGTAGAGAAATCTGTTTATGACGTACACTAAAGAAAGTGTTTAGAATACCTATGGCCTTTGCGGTTTCTAGAGCAATTTCAAGAGCTTTCAAGAGCTAAAGCATGCCCAAAAACCTCTAGAAGTGTTTAGATCCCAGTGCCATATAATTGGAATGCTTTCATTCTGTACCATACAGTCCAAACAAATAAACAATAAACAAATTTTTAGGACATTGTAGAAAAAAGACCAGATAAGAACCTACAACAGCTTCATTTGCTCTAAAACGCCTATGAATGCTATGAAATCTCACTTAGATCGCTTTCTACAGCTGTTTATGTTCTCAAGACTTTTTTCCGGAAGAATATTACTCTTATTTGAGCCTATTAGAACGTTCTTATTAAAATATAGCATTGAAAACTGTGACGTACATAAGTATCGTTTAGAATGCCCTTTTTACGCTTTCCAGAGCCTCTTGACTCTTGAGTGCTTTCCAATGACACTTTAGGCCATTTCTAGACCTTTTAAGATGTAAAAGGGTTTAGAAAGCTCTAGTTAGAGAGTAGAAATCTCTTCAAATTGCACCTAAAGATTTGGTAAAGCTTTTTAAAAACTCGATAGCCTCTAAGCCGTATTCACTAGTACAGAAAACCTTAGAATGTCTTACAGTTTGCTTAGAGGTCTCTAAGATTCGGTTAAAAAACTTCTATTATTCAAGGGAATTTTAGTAACCCTTCAGAAGCCCTTTAGATCTCTTAAAAAACTGTCGAGGAGTTTATACGACCTTTTCCAGAGTTTGCTAGGTCATTTTATGAAGTAGGCGGATCTGAAAATGTGAAAAAAGCCTGAGAATGGCTTTATAGTCGTGTATTTCTTAGTATTTGACTGCATTCGGATTTAGTAGCAGATTATACAAGGTGGTCCTAAATATAATGTAAATACGGTAGGGGCTAATTGTTTGGCTTATTTTATGACTAATAGTTCATATTATAAACATAGAAAATTGAAATTGATTATAATCCATATTCTCCTATGTGGTATTCGTTAATTATAAAAATTGAGAGTATTATTTAATATAATAATATATAAACATAGGTCCGCACACGCTTCGTTACCGATCTACAGGACAAGATTTTTTAATTTTTTCTGTATATATCCAGCAGTTTTTGAGATATTTTACTTTGAAACTCTAGTTACGCTGAAGGGTTTACATGATTGGATATGTCAATGATAGTGAGAATCTACAGGATGTTGTTTTTTTAGGGCTCATATTTCTTTTTCTAGCCATAATCTTTTTTTTTTGGCGCGCTACTGGATGATTGTGAAAGAAGAATTTTCTGGTCTGTTTAGCAACCTTTTTTTCTCTTTTAATTTTTTCGTATTTGCGACCGTTTTCGAGCAAAAAATTATAATAATTATTCCGTAGTTGGCTAAATGAAATTAGTTTTTAAAATGTCCGGTAGGCCCTGACTTTATTTGGATAATATCTTGTTTATTAGTTTATTAGTTTTGACAGTTGGTATTGAAAATTGTATCTTATGTTTGCATCTTTATACATGGTGTAGAAACGGTTTACGCACCATAGGGATTCCATTGCTAGTTTGAAAAATTCTACGTCTGCTCATGTCCTCATTTATTATTTTTCAAATCGGGAAATCTGAGTAATTAAGGGAATTAGAATTTAGCATTTGCGTAAAAATCTAATTTTTGTTTCAGTAATTTCACAGCACGACTGATTTTTACAAAAATGCTAATTTATTATTTCCTTAACTTCCCACAACAAAAAATTACACACGAATGAATAAACGCAGAATTTGACAATCCACCAAATTTATTTACAATTTTGCTGTAAAATAACTAGGGGAGACATATATAATAAAAATTATCTTTGAAATACCTATGGTGCGTAAACCAATGCTACACCCTGTATATGAAACAAAGTCGTGTATGATACACTACTGGTAACTCAAGAACGGCTGGACCGATTTTCACGTTTTTTTATTTGTTGGATTTGTCTCCAACCCGAACAGCAGAGTAACACGAAAAGCATATAATAGTTACTTATTATACAAGGGAAAAAGTATTAGATTTTAACTCGAGGTTTTGTTGTCTCCCGACGCGAAGGGGATGAGATGGAAGACTATAAAAAGAAATATACTCCCCAGTAGGGAATGCAATCCCGCAGCAAAATCTCAATCCCGGTATTTGCGGGATCGTTAGATGTTAATCCCGCGGGATCCCGGTGTTTGCGGGATCCCGCAAAATTTTAAATAAATTGGCAAATAACAATTTTGTGCGGTTAAGTTCTGTATTAAAATAAATCGCTAATTATCACAATATTCAACAAAAAAGAACCTTCAGCCTAACTTAGAACTCAAAAAAACTTCACCTATAAAGCACAAAAGGTGAACTTTTCTAAAATGCCTCAAAAATCATCGTTCATTTTTAACGTTTTAAGTTTAACAATTATTTTAAACATAATTTCTCCGTTATGCGTTTCATTAACAAAGCAAACAGAGTCGTCGTCGACAAATTACTCAGTCCCGCAAATCCGGCGGGATCCCGCTCCATTTATGTGCGGGATTAATCCCGCAAAAATGCTGCGGGATCCCGGTGTTTCGGGATCCCGCGATCCCGGTATTGCATTCCCTAGTTTCTAGTCTATAACTTTTGATTGAGAAGTCTAATCGAAAAAGTACGAATTGTTTTGGATTCTACGCCCCAAAATTAATAAAAAAAAGTGTTTTCCCGAGAAATTTTGGTGTAGTCGATTTTTGGTAAAAAAGGAAGGTTATACACTGCCTTTTTTTTAGCCCCGAAAAAAAAATTGTCTCAGATCGACCGGGAAAAAAAATTTTCTTATAGAATATACCCTGGAGAATCCATAATTTCAAACAGTTCTAAGATTGGGCTACTAGTTCAAAAGTTACAGCCCTTTGCATTTTCTTTCGAAATTGGTTTCTAGTGTATAACTTTTGAGTGAGAAGTCTGATCGAGAAAGTACGAATTGTTTTGGATTCTACGTCCCAAAATTAATAAGAAAAAGTGTTTTCCCGAGAAATTTTGGTGTAGTCGATTTTTGGTAAAAAAGGAAGGTTATACACTGCTATTTTTGAGCCCCGAAAAAAAATTGTCTCAGATCGACCGGGAAAAAAAAATTTCTTATAGAATATGCCCTGGAGAATCCATAATTTCAAACAGTTCGAAGATTGGGCTACTAGTTCAAAAGTTACAGCCCTTTGAATATTCTTTCGAAATTGGTTTCTAATAGGGAATGCAATCCCGCAGCAAAATCTCAATCCCGGTATTTGCGGGATCCCGCAAAATTTTAAATAAATTGGCAAATAACAATTTTGTGCGGTTAAGTTCTGTATTAAAATAAATCGCTAATTATCACAATATTCAACAAAAAAGAACCTTCAGCCTAACTTAGAACTCAAAAAAACTTCACCTATAAAGCACAAAAGGTGAACTTTTCTAAAATGCCTCAAAAATCATCGTTCATTTTTAACGTTTTAAGTTTAACAATTATTTTAAACATAATTTCTCCGTTATGCGTTTCATTAACAAAGCAAACAGAGTCGTCGTCGACAAATTACTCAGTCCCGCAAATCCCGCGGGATTCCGCTCCACTTATGTGCGGGACTAATCCCGGTATTTCGGGATCCCGCGATCCCGGTATTGCATTCCCTACTCTCCAGTAAAGCATTCCCTACTCCCCAGTAAATACAGTTCGATAATTTGTTGTACATTCCCAGAAATTGGTTCAGTAAGGGCTGCAAGTTTTAAATTAGGGCACCAAGCTATATGTACTAGTAAAATCGATAAACTAATCTCATTTTTCAATTTCAGTTCGCAATCCTTTAACCAAAGCTACGACGAGTACTACGATGCGTCGTCGTATATATCCCAAGACGATAGATACGGTCAAGATCAGGAGGATAGGCAGTGGGACTCCGGGGGATATACGAAGAAAGGCACATCCAAAAGGTTACCTGCGGTACCGGTCGTTCAAAATTATTTAAACAAAAAACGATCCTCAATCATAGCTCAAGAAATATATCAAAGTAGTGATGGTTACTTAAGTTCGCCGACGCCGAAAACGCGTCGACGTATGCCACAAATACCAAACAAACGTAGCGCCAGTAGACAGAGTTCAGTTAACGATACCGAAGCATACGATGGTTATTGTACCCCTGAAAATACTTCTCACAGAGGAGCTAGTTTACCTCCAACTCCTACAAAAACACCTAAAGTGTTAGCTCGTATAGCGGCGAACACGAAGAGTTTACCTCCGACTCCCGGACGTAGGCTTCCTCAACCAAATCTTAATCACCGCAGTGCCAAGAGTAAAAGGAATAATTTAATGAAGCGTACAAATTCCGCGGATTACGCAGATTATTCGAATGAGGACGTTTACGATAACGCATACATTCGACAAGGTGCAATAAGCGCTAGGGAGGTTTATAATGAGGATTACAATTACGCATATCAAAGTATAGATAATCTTACTGCTCATCAGCAGGAAGAACTAAACGTAACTTCTGCCATTGATAGTGATTATAGTAGAACTAGTGTAGCCGTTACAGTTAGTCAAAACGATACGTTTGGCGCGTATCAGCAATCTACCGAAGAGTATTATTTTAGTGCTCAAGATGAACGCGATTACCCCGCGGAAGACTATTACGAAATAAAACCAAAAGACACTAAACGAAAGTTACTGCGCGGTCGCGTTAAAAGTCCCCTTGTTCAGCAAAATACGGATAGCTTAGAGTCTCGCGATGATGAACTCAAAGATTCATTCGAAACGGCTGTGTCTTCGGTTAGTAGTTCGATGCAACAGCCACGTCGTGTACCGCAAATTCCCGATACGTACACGACACCCGAAATTGTCGTCAACAGCACAACCTCCATGGTATCGCCAGATTCCGTGGATATTCCCATTATAACAACCAGTGTCAACGTGCAATACTGCAGGGACCAAACAGAACCAGTCAAAGCAATATCAACAATAACCAGTACAAATACTACAGTACCAGATGTAACTATAACAGAACCAAATAGCACACTACCTTTTAAAAATGGCACTTCTAGAGGCTACTTAGTACAGCAAGATACAATAGAATCCAATTACCTCCAGTACCAGGAATCCATAGACGACGATATTAGTTTTAATATAAACAATCGGCTAGAAATTGAGTATCCAGAGAAGATAACCGAAGAGCCGTACTTAGAGCAACAGGACTCGATTGAAAGTTACATCGAGGAAGATATCCACGATATTTCGGCCGATTACACGAAAGCAATAAATAGAGACTCCCCTGCATCTGTGATACACATAACTGACGACGACGGTAGTCTGCGTAGAGGCTCCTCTCAAATTACTGTCGTCGATCCCTTCCATCCGTCACTTCAGCAACGCCCGCTAGAACCGTACGTTCCTATTAGCACGAGAAGGCCCTCCGTCGACCCGTACAGAGCGTCGTCCCCGATCAGACGCACCTCGGGCGACGCCCTGTCCTTGCTGAAAACTGGCGAAGACGTTTATAGCCAGCAGCGAAAGAACTCGATCGATCCTTACCAGCAAGGGGCACCGCGTCGCGCGTCCGTTAGGCGCTCTCCCGTTCCTCTCGAGTACGAGGAGCACGAAGATGCCGAGATTCCTCTTGAGGATGAGGAATTGGATAGTAAACACGATTACTTAAAGGAGGATATCGAGGTGAAACCGGCAAGACCTCAGGTAACGGCGCAGCAGAGATGGCACTGGGCGTACAATAAGATCATCATGCAGCTAAACGTAAGTACCTACTCTTCTACTTCTGTGTAAAGTACGGGTGTCTTTTATGAATCGAGTTTCCCAATGTACCATTATGATATTTTGATGTGAAAATGTTTATTGTAAAAACCGTTATGTCCATTATTTGACGATTTTTGTATGTGTGTTGTAAAGAACAGTGCTAGGGGAAGTTGTAAAAATCGGAGAAGAGATTCCACAAACCTTGACGAAGGTAACTCACTCTTCTGTATGGTATGGGCGCTGATTACAAACTTAAAGGAAGTAATAACCTTCCATGGGCTTTTTAAAGGAACCCAAAGTGATAAAAAAATATTTTAGCACCATCAGAAAGCTGAGAAACGGTTTTTCGGTTTTTTGGCATAACTTCGCTATTTGTAGATCTACAAGAAACTTTGAATGGGACAATTAATTAGCATAACATTATGCATAAATTTGTATGTCTTAAGGTTTATGAGATCCCCATAGTGAATGTTAAAAAACCTCACCCTGTATACTTTACTAAACAGAGAATTAAATCCCTTTCAAACAATGTGCCCCACGAAATTTTTTTTTATTTAAAGTGTTCAAAGGAGTGTGTAAAATTCAGAAGGGAGGCTAGAGGGGGCTTATATATTCATACATACATATTAAATTGGCGAATTAAGAAAATTACAAAGAAAAAATAAAAATCGACGTGTTTCAGGCTTTTTCCGATTCGTAAATATTCGTAATAATCGAAGCCACCGTAATATGGTGGCTTCGTAATAATGCCAAAAATAAGTTTATTCTATACATATTCATTATTCATACACTTTGTAAAATTCGCAACAGAATTTCTATAGGTGTCGTGCTTTTTAGTTAGAAAACCCTACGACAAAATTTGTTACTGTTTCTTTTATATGATTTTCATCTGTAAAACATTCCAGATCAATAATTTGGGCCATAATTGTTAAGGTTTGCTTGAAAACTACTGATAATAAAAAATAAGCCAGTAAAATGAGACAACAAAAATGGCAAACATCAGAAAAAATAAAGAACATCTGATTTTTATTCTGTTGGCTAGGACTCATTCTCATAGGGGTTTATTTTCTTTGGTAATTTTATTAGGATACATGAGAGTAGCATAAAACCAAGTTTTCAACTTCCAATAGCTTGTGCTAGCAGAGTTGTGGTCGAAAAACCTAGATTTTTTTAACTTTTTTCAATTTTGTGTAAATTATCTTGAGAATTACCGGATACACGGAAAATAGCCTTCCACTTTCTTTTAAAGAAGATAAAATTACCTACAACTTGAGCCAAAGAGCAGCTCTGTAGGTATAATAAGCCACAGGCCTTCAGTCTTTCTAATACGAACTTACTTGTATGTACAGTGTGTCCTATTTTGGTTGTGACTACAGTGAATCTCAGCTGTTCTTAAACATAGAGACTTGCAGGCTTCGCGACCCTGTGCTACTATTTTGAGAAAATTTTATAGCTATACATTTGTTTCTAAGATACAGGGCGAAAACGAAAAGTTTTACTTTTTGAGACGTTATCATACATCCCATGCAAGATTGAAAAAAGGTCCTGTCTGTTTTAGAGATTTTCACGTAGAATCCAATGGCGTGCTCAAAAAACAATGTTGGCCCACCGTTTCTGAGATTCGACCTAAAGTTGGTATTTTTTAAATGTAACGCTCTGCATCTGGGATTTTACTTGGGATTGTACTAAATCGTCCTGAAAATTGATAAAATATTACCCTAAGATTGCCATCTGCGGATTATAAATGTTTAATAAGGTGTCCAAATTGAAGGCAGTACGGGTGGCGGTGGCGGTAATTTAGCCAATACTGTAAATGTAAAAAATAAAGGGAGGGGCGACGTTTTTGAAAATAAAAATAAAAAACAATACTCCATGCATAATTTTTTTACATACCTTTTTGTGTATTTGTTCTGTTTTTTATTAATTAATTATTTCCCTCTTCCTATTTTATTCCCCTTGTCGTTGTAAATTAGCTACACTGACGTGACGATATGTGACATTTTAGTTTTGATGATTTTTGAATGCCATACTTTCTAAAAGAAGTCATCACCTTTATTTGCCTGTATACCATAAATAGGTCTTAACACGTCAGTAACTATAGTAGATAATAAATTAGGACAATGCATATATAAAAAGAATTATAAAAACAGTTTAAAATTTCAAATAAATAAAAGCTAGACAAACCATGTAGCTAAAACAGAATAATATACATTACAAACAATACAAAAAAATTACGTAAAAATGACTTATCGTTATAATACTGTATATTTTAACGTCAATTTTTTGCATTCTTTTTCTAGATTACATTGGTGTATCATAACCTATATTTTTTTATATGATTAGGTATATATTATACTATAACATACATTTTTGAATTTACAGAATTTTGAAATTTACATGCTTCTACCATCAGACCATGGACGCAATAAACAAAACAAAATCTCTGTGAATCCATAGCCTACTATTAAAAAACCGTAGAAAATAAAGTTTTTAGTTTTGGTTCATGGGTAAAATAAAAAAATATACATAGGATGCAATCAGGAAAATAATGCAAAAAATTGACGTTTAGATATACAGGGTGTTGCATGTAAAAACCAAATCTCAAAAACGGTGGTCCAAAATATGTTTTTGACTACACCGCTGGATTTTACATAAAAATATCTAAAATAGACAGTGTGTCTCTTTTTTCTATGTTACAACGTCTCAAAAAGTCGAACTTTTCGTTTTCACGCTGTATCTTAGAAACAAACGTAGCTAAATTAATTCTGTTTATGGTATTAAGCTTAAAAAAAATGGCATATGGTCGCGAAAACCGCCACCTCCCCCTGTTTCGGAGGCCGCATCGGTTCAAATAAAAAATATTTTATTTAGCACGATAGTTCCAGCACCTGCAGGTATTTTCGTGCAATGAATGGTTCACGGGTTATAATTTTAGGGGTTCGCATCAAGCCCCCTCCTAGCTATCTAAATTGTCGTACTTTCGAAATTCTTTTTTAATAAAATTATAAATTACAACCGGGGGTGGTGAGTGGTTCGTTTTGAAATGAACACCCTGGATATTAATATATACATTGGTTAGTTTCAAAGTTATGCGGTATTTATAGGAGGTTGGAATCCAGTTATTAGCTTTTTTAAACGAAACTATTGACGTAAAATGCCCACTGTGAATTTTGATATACGCACAGTGATGTCACAATTGCAGCCCTCACATCCTCAACCCCGAGCTTAATCCCATAAAAATACGACAACTTTTGTAAATCAATGAGACATAGTTGAGAAAATTTATTCCAAACATTTATATTCGAATTACGATTAATTTGAACACCTGAATAGAGATAAGAATGCAAAACGATGAACACGTGTTCAGATAAATGCGACGAATTGGTTTTGTATCGCTTGTGATTGGTTTTTTGACAAGGATAGAAATATGTACCTAAATGAGACGAAGTGGGAACGCTTTGAAAAGCAGTTTGTGTTAGTACCGGTGTTATTGAAATGATTTGCGGGTGTTTGTTTGAAAAATGTGCTGTTCTCGTGAATCAAACTAAAAAAGTTTGTGGCTGTAGCATCATTGGCAACAAAAAAGGTAGGATTGTTAATAACGTTCTTTAAAAATAGTTGCCAACGGGTACATTGGGTCAAGTTGTACGGTTTTTTAGTACTTATAATATAACCACCGATGCGTTTTGGGAATTTTTTGGGCCGTAATTAATCTTAGAGGATATTTCGATGTGCAAATGATATTGGTGTGTTTAAATCGTGGAAGAATGAATTTGGTTGTTTTCCCATTTTTCAACACTAAAATATCCCCCTACGACGTTGACCCAGGAAACAAAATGTAGTTTTTATGATTTTGTTACACAGGCCAATGCCTTACGGGGTTTTGGTTTACCACTACTCAGCGCTTATCCACCCTCTAAAATACACAATGAAATATGGGTACACGTAGATTGATGGAAAGGTCCTTTTTTGCGAATATGGCACCTTAATTTTTTCTAAATTTAACTAATATTTTCTGAAGATTTCTCATTGAAACTGGAAACCAAACAATCTAGATTAACAAAATTACAGTTAGATAACGAAATGCAGCTTGCCAGTCGATAATAATGAATGTCTGGACTGTTTGATAAAGGATATCCCGCTCGCACCTACAATTTTCGAGTGGGTGTCCATTGTGTTTTTTTTCTAAAAATATGTGATGAGGGCGCGTATTGATTTTAACCTAGTATATGTTTCTTTTTTTACGCATTTCAAAACTAGCAAAGAAATGTGTTGCCAAATATCGTATTTTATGCTTTACAGTGTAAAACGTAAAATAACAAAAGTTGAAAACTACGAGACAATCTTTAAATTAAACTACACGCTCTGGTACCTGAACTATATGTAGGTAATTGTTTAATGCCGAAGTAGGTGCATTCGATTAGGAAAACTTCGGTGTGTAGGACTTTCCATTAGCATACAGTTCTAATAATCTCCTTATCCAGGGTGTTGCATATAAGTATGTAAACAAATTGGGCTGTAGAGGGGATCAAACCAAGCACCTTTTCCAAATAAACCGAGGTTCCAACGCGTTTCGTTTGAGAGCCACCCTCAAAAAGGCGGAAAAAAATTTGCATTTCTTCTGTAATTTTTTTCTCAGCAACCATGAGAGTTACAAAGACTTGTGTTTGGAAAGGTTTTGGGATATGCCCTTTCCGATTTTGTAAAAATTCTTGCCACGCACCCCCAAATAGGAGTGCGATTTTTGAACATGAAAATCACCAATCTGAAAATAATTTTTGAAAATTCAAAAGAGACTTCCACTGCAATTCTAGGGTGGACAAACAGGGTGGCTAACAAATGAAAGCGGTGGAGCGTCGGTTTGTTTGGAAAAGTCCTTGCTTTGATTTCCTCTGCCATTCAATTCTTTTTTTTTAAACTACGATACTATACTTTCGTTTCTAAAAAGGGTGAAGAAAATGTGATTTTTCTCTCTAGTGAAGAAAGTATAAAACTGCATT